AATTAATGTCAAACTATAATTATATATATGAATAATAATATTGCATAAACTAAAATTTCTATCAAATATAAATTATTTTTATAAAACATATGAAAATTCCAAAAGAAATGAAAATTAAAAATTATAAAAAAAATAATAAAAGGGAGAGAAACAAAGGCATCATACTTGTATGTTTATGTGTTTAGGCATAATTTTAAGTATCATATTAATAATCCCTAATAATGGACTTGTAGACATGGTAGTATGGTACTCTTAAAGAGCCATCGTCTTCATTATCACATCAGAACTCAACCATTTACATCGGTTACCAGAGGTTCGTGCTCCACGTGGACCTAGAAAAATTTTAAAAAATACTAACCAAAAAGTTATACACTAACCCCCCCCCCCCCCCAAAACCCCTGTGTTTCGATCCGAACTTGCATTTTTCTTGAATTTTCAACCTCCTAAGAAATTCTCATAAGGGAACTCATTATATGAGTTTGGAACTTGCAGTAGTGTCTTTTTCTTGAATTCTACTGTGTTTTTTTTTATTGGTCTTAATTTGATAATTTCAGGTGTCATTTTTAAAAGTAATTAGGACTCGGAGTTATAACTAGAACCATTTTCTCTCTTTGGTTAATTTCATCCACTTTCTCTAAATTCTTACTTCTTCAATAGAAAACCCCTAGGCACTGTTTGGTTACCTAGGATTGGAGCTAAAAATTTGAATCGGAGCGCTCCAATTCTAATTTCTTTTTTAGGTTGATAAAAATAGAAGTGTAGGAATTAGAATTAGAATCCTATATAGGGTTCAATTTCATGCTTTCAATTCTCTTGTGGGATCTAAGAATTGTAATTCAAATTTCAAGGGTCTTAAACAAATTTGCGGGTCAAAATCGGGTTATAAAGAAAATGGATAAAATTTCAAGCGATGTGAAGAAATTTGGAGCGTGCAACTCACGCGCCAAAAGGGAAGTTGGTATGAAACCTTTCCTCACGCGCACGATCATTTTTGCTTTTGATTTTCTTTTCCCATGCTTATTTATATTTTCTACCTTTTTCTTGTACCAAATGGGAAGTATAGTACGTCAGTCTATTTCATCTTAAAAATAAAAAAATAGAACTATTAAAATAGTGATTGGATTTTTGTGTTTGAAATATTTATATTTTTGCAATATATTATGTCAATAATTATCAGGTACAACTAATTCTAGATGTAGTTACTATACATCCAAACAAAAGATTTGGTATTATATTTGGAAAAAGAAAAAAAATAATTATTACCATATAAAATTAATGTCAAACTATAATTTATATATAAATGAATAATAATATGCATAAACTGAAATTTCTATCAAATATAAATTTTTTCTTTAAACTTACTAAAAATTCTAAAAAATAACTTAAAATTAAAAATTGCAAAAAATATATATATGGGAGAGATACAAAGACATTGTACTTGTTACTTGTTTATGTGGTTAGGTATAACTTTAAGTATCATATTAATAATTAATAATGGACTTGTGGACATGGTAGTATGGTAACTCTTAAAGGGCTATTGTCTTCATTATTACATCAAAACCCAACCATTTATATTGGTGACCGGAGCTTTGTGCTCCACGTGTGACCAGAAAAGTAATAAAAAAAACCCCAACCAAAAAGTTAGTATATACTATAAACCCTTCCCCATCCCTCAACCCATGTGTTTTGGTCCGAAACTGTAGTTTTCTTGAATTTTCTTCCTTCCAAGAAATTCTCATCAGTGAACTTATGATATCAGTTTGGAACTTGCAGTAACATCTTTTTCTTGAATTCTACTCTTTCTTTTTTGTTGATATTCATTGAGAATTTCAAGTGTCATTCGTCAAAAGCAATTAGGATGCAGAGTTATAGGTAAAATCATTTGCTCTCTTTGTCTTAATTTCATCCACTTTCTCTTGATTTTTGCTTCTCCAATGGAAAACCCTTAGACTTTTTTTGGTTTCGATTCTTTTTTTTTTTTGGTTGATAAGAAGAGAAGTGTAGAATTTGGAATTACAATACTATATAGGGTTCAATTCTATCATTTCAATTCTTTTGTGGGATCTAATAATGGTTGGTCATTCAAGAGATTGAAAAAAGGTGTTAAAAATTTCTTTGGAGGGGCATGAGTGAAGAGTCTCGACGTCATTGGAGATCGTGGAATGGAATTACCTTCCCGGTTAATGAAAATGGCTTGGGGATCCATGGTTTTCAGGAATTCATTGATGCCTTGATTGTCAAATTATGGTGGAAAATGAAGAACAAAACCAGAATATGGAGTAGCTTTCTCCTCTCCTTATCTACTACATCTAAAAACAAGACTTCTCCATTTCGAATTTCTAAAGTGGAGAATAGGGCAGTTGTACACACAAAAGTCATTGTTCGTAGAGGGGATCGCTCTTTCTGGTTTGATAATTGGTCGCCCCATGGTTGGGACATTCAAGGACTGAAACCACCTTTACCGGACCTAAGCATTTGGGAATTTTTTTCAAAACCAGCAGCATTACCTTCCATTACTGTAGCCATCTCTTTCTGATGAGATCCTTCACTTCCTTATGGTTCATGAGCAAGGTGTCATGGAGGAGGATGACCTTCTTGTTTGGCAGCATACACATATAGGAGTCTTTTCGGTTAAATCTGCCTATGAAGCTTTGAGGAGGCGTGGAGTGGAGGAAAATTGGGCAAAAAATTTTTGGAATTCTATAACACCTTTGTGTGTTTCTATGTTCTTGTGGAAATTGCACAATAAACTTCTTCCATTTCCAAAAGTCATAGTGCGCATGGGGATCTTTTGCTATCCGGCCATATGTTTGTTTTGCAAGAACTATGATGATGGAATATCTCATTGTTTCTTTGGATGTGATTTTACAAGCGTTGTTTGGCGACATTTTTCATCCTTAATGAGAGTTCAAAATCCAAGGTGCGAATTCTCTATCTTCTTTTTAGGACGATGGTGGAGTAGCAGGGATCTAAAATCGGCTTATAGTGCATTGCGGAAGGTTCTACCTTCTATTATCCTTTGGGAGTTATGGAACTAAGGAACAAGGTCTTTTTGAAGATGCAAAGCTGATTCATGCTTCCATTATTCATGCCATTATGGAACAGGTACGTGGTTTGATGATGATACATGATCTTAAAATTCGGAATGAAGAGGAGGATACTTTTTTTCGAAAAGACTTCCATGTAGTTTTAAGGTGCATTGGCCGACCTCGGGTTTTGCATGTTACATGGCAGCCCCCCCTCTTAAAACTTATATTCTTAATACTGATGGCTCTTCTAGTCTTGGTGAGGCAGGTTATGGTTTTGTAATTCGAGGCGAAGGTGATTCCTTTATCTATGGTGAAGGTGGATATCTTGGAGGAGGTGACAGTTTTTTAGCGGAAATTTCTGGCATTCTTTTTGGCCTAAGGAAATGTGAGCAATTGCATCTTTCTAATGTGGAGATTCGGATGGATATTCAAGTCTTGGCTTTGACTTTAGCTAAGAATTCAGGTTTTCCTTGGAGATATTTCTTGTACTTACAGGAAATGTCTTCCATTATCCGAAGGAATGGATTTCGAATTATTCATGTGTTTAGAGAACTTAACTCTGTAGTGGACTGGCTAGCTAAAGAAGCAGCTTCTGGGGTGTCCCAAACTCATTCTTCTATAGATAGTTTACCAAGCTATGTAAAAAGATTATTGAATTTAGATCAAGAATCCTTTCCCTATATTCGAAGTAGGAGCTCTTGATGTAATTGTGGCTAGTCTATATGTTACCACTTCTCTATATTTGAATAAATAAAATTATGGGGAGGGACGAAGCTAGGGAACTAGATGGTATATATGTCAATCCCTTGGGTATACTCCTTGGGTGCATAATACCATCTAGCACTGACTAATTTATAAAATAGCTCTTAGGTAGACCCCTTGAGTATTTTATGAGTAAGTTGGAACCTGAAAATAGTTCCAAATCCCCCTTTTTCTTTGTTTAAAAAAAAAGGTCAATTTCTTTTTCAGTAAGGGCAATTCCAACACAACTGCTATGGCTTTCCTCCACCTTCGCTTCATCATTTGCTCCGTTACCCACCACAATAGCGGTAGGTGACCCCCTCTTTTTTTTTCTTGGGCTTGTGTTGGGTTTTTGTGGGTTTTTCTGAGCCAATTTGTATTTGTTTTAGGCCAAATTGTTGCTTAAAATCCATGCATAATATGTTTTTTTTTCCTACAAATTTAAATTAAAAATTTCATATTTTTACAAATTTAATCCACTCAAAAATGAATATTATTAAAATAAAACACAATACGTTTCAGCTCACATAAAATTAGTTTTTCGGAGTGCTAGGCTTGTAATGTAGTTTTTATTATTTTAGTGTTGTGTTAGGAATAGAATTTTCTTTTAGTTGAAATCCAAGTGGTTTATATTTATTTACGATTTCATTTGTTTCATATAAATCAAAAACTTTGTAGATATAATAAATTGAATAATTTGAAATCTTAATCCGATGACTAATTTATATATATATATATATATATATACATTCATTATGGTTATTGCGTATTTTTTTAATAATAAAATTCATATATAATTTAATTTTTATAAATATATATTATTTTTGTACTTTTAAAATGCATCAAAATGTCAATTATAAAAATTATTAACAAATATAATAATTTATAAAAGAATATAGTAAAAGGGAATAATATAAAGGGAATGGGTGAGTTCTTGATGCAGTTTTTGTAATCAAAACAGGCAGTGTCTGGCGGGCTTGTACCCCTTTTATTTATCTAGAAATAAAGAAAATGAAAGTGGCAGTGCGTAGGACTTACCACCATTTACAATACATCAAATAAAACGTTTAAAAAACCAATAGAAATACTTTAAAGGATTATGATCAACAGAAATTTATTTTTTCTGAGCGATGTACTTTCAAATTTGCATTGGCACTAGGCTTCTTCCATTGTTTACGAGCACAGATAAATTCAGGTTCCTCACCCATTGCAACTTAAGCCAGAATTTTTTTAAAATTTGTCTGTGTTTTCTATCATGAGTTGCTTTTTTGCATCTACTTGTTTCAGAGTGCCTACCATTACTACTACTAAGCCATCTTCTGAAACATCTTCTTTACGCATAGACTTATCGGCATTCTCCTCAATCACATCTTCATGCAAAACCTGGAAGATATTTGTTATCGTCGGTTTTTGTTGGTTGTACTGATTTAGATCATCTTCCATTGATAGCTCCCCATCAATCTTTTCGCGATGAGTTGGTTGCTTTAGATTATTTTCATCCTCCGTCCTATCCTTACCTTTATCATTTGCAGGCTTAATATTATCATTGAAATTTGTATTTGTGTGATCCTTCATAATTTCGTTTGGAGAATCTGTAACATCAACAATTTTAGTCCCGTCTTTATTTGCTTCTTGTGGCTCTGTTACTTTTTGCATATTCGCTTCATGTTTTTTTCCACCTATGCCTTTATCAGACTGCTCAACTGGAATTGATTCCTTTTCTTTATCAGTTAAGCCCGAATTTGAAGCAGTAATTTCCTTGGCAATGATATTTGGTTTCCACTTGGATTCAAAGGCTGCAAAACGGTGCATTTCCCTTTAGTCAGGACCTCATTCTTCTCAACTCGTTTCTCTTTTTCCTTCAAGTTACGCGGCTGAATCATCTTACCTTTTTTGCGTTCATCATTTTTGTGGCCAATTTACTTTACTTTGAGCAATAAGAAGAAATATGTTCATAGGTGAAAAATTGCTCTTGCTTGCACCCTTTTTCCCCCTATTTTGATTAGCTTCTGAAGCTCCTTCATCAAGTCTACTTCAACACAGAAATGCGCAACAGAAGACCGAGTCATATTCAACGTAGGAGCGTCAGGGGTTTCTCAATTGCCGTAGCCATAGACAAGATTACTTCATATTCAGGTACTCTATCGGAAGATCAAACAAGGAAATCCATGTAGGAGCAATTGGGAGTTCTTCTTCAAACTTAAACCCGGGAGTCCATTCCAGAATTCTCATTGAAAATCCTGCTATGTTCCAAAATGTTCAGATACAACAGTGATGATAATCCTCTTCTTTCTCAAATCATATCAAGATGTGTCGTGGATTCATCAAACCTATTGTATAGCTTCCCACAAATCTTATTTTCCAAAATTCTTTATGTACCTCGTCCATCTTTGGCCTACTATAAGAAAATTTTCCAACCAAATTTAGCCGATGAGGCGCAATGAGCTGCTCAAATTCATCATTTTCATATTCGAAAACCGGCGTTCTGTTGATAAATTTTACTTGCTTGAATAGAGAGATTTTAGGCTTATGTGATTCCACTGGTTTTTGGAAAAGGCTTGCAAAGATTCGAGGGGGTCAAGTGGGGACCCCCGCGGTTTGATCGCCGGCCATGTGGGCGAAATCCGATCGAAGTTGGTTAGTCACTGAGGCATTTTTAACAAACATGTATTATGCATATAAGTAGACACTCTTATCTCAAAATCTTGGACAAACTGGGATGATAAACAATTTCACAATTAGCACTCGTAGAATCTGTCCCACGATTAAAGAAAACTAACCGGAGGGGAGTGGAATCACAAACTTCCGTAAGCATTATTTTACAACATGAGACGAAGAATGAAGAACTACTAGTCAAAGTCGATATTAAAAGTTGACTCTGTGTCTATACAAAATATACCAATATCTAAGCAAAAGTCTAACACAACTTGATCAATTGAGTATTCAATATCACTGAAAAAACCCTCCTCTATTATAGAGCAAGTGTTTTGAAAAAAAAAAAAAAAAATGAGCAGTAGATGATATCGATTAAGTTTCTAATCTTTAAATATCTATTCATTTTATAAGTTTTCAAGAATTTTTTAATAGAAGATTGATGTTGAGTTTTTTTTTTTTTTGGGGCAAATATACTAAGTGATCTCGGGTTGAAATGAAACATACTAAACCGGAAAATTTATTCACGATTCTCATCCAGTATTAAATACAAACTTATTAATTAAATTTCATGGAATATTTGGAAGGATTTTGATTAAGTAATCAACGCATTACCCAAAATATCGTATAATCATCATTTGTTCAATTCAAAATTCAAAAAGGTAGTATAAATTTAATATGTTAAGAGGTATATTTTTGCGTTGCTTTATTTTTTTAAAGTGGCTCTACGGAAACTCATATTTATAATGGCCGCTTTTATACGATAATATTTCTTAACCAATTCAAATAACATTAAGTATTTTATCTAATAGAAAGGAATAAATATTGTTAGGGATATGATCAAATAAATTTTTAATTTCACATCAAGTTTGTCTTTATGGGAACTTAGTGATATGAAACAGAGAATTAATATCTTGAGTGTTTCTAATGATTCATATTTTTCTTTCTTTTTTTTTTTTTGGTTGGGGTGGGGTGGGGGAGGGGGGGGGGGCTCTATTCATGTTTTAGACTTTTAGGTACCGGATTTATTTTACGAATAAAGGGAAGGTTACTTCACAAAATGTAATTGAATTTGGTTACATACATGTCCGTTAGCGTGATTCTCATCTAACTTTTCAAAACTTCGAATGAACGAACAACATAAAAATATGATAACTGAACTAAACCCACGAAGTAGAAACATAAAAAAAAAAATACATAAATATTCTGAAGAAAAATTGCAAATCAAATCCATAATCGTGAATATGCTATTCCAGTGCGAAATTTTTGGCAAAACACCTTGAACCATGGTACATTTTTTGTCAAAATCTAAATTAAATCTTACATATGAATGTTGCCACAAGGATTTGTGATGAGAATTTGTAATTTCTGAGAGGAAGAGAGACTCATATGTTCAAAGAGTGAAGAAGAAAGCTCTTATCAATGAGTTTTTGGTTTAGTTTTGATTTAAATAAAAAAAATTTGGAAGTTGATACGAGTTTAGCTTTTTAATTAAATATTGTAAAAAATATATTAACTTATCTAAATATGCTAATTGGATTGTCATGTTAGTAGAGTTATTTATAATTGTAATATCATTATTCTAATTATATATTGAGACCAAACGCCTAAACTTTCGATATTGAAATTCTCTTACATAAGTGGTACATGGTCGTTGACACCTCCAAAAGAAATAATAACCTACTTAAAACTATTAGCTAGCGGTAAGTACGGTTGATCCACAGAGACGGCAGTGAACCACTTAAATTCTGATTAATATGCAAGCAAGAAAAACAAACTGAATAGATTGTCACTTGGGAGAGTCACTTGACAGAGTGAGAAAGTAGAAGGGTCATCCACCTTCCTATCTATATGATCCAGTTTTGATTCATTTCAATTCTTGTTATATATAATTTATTGTTTAATCAGGCACTTACATTCTTTACCTTCCCCATCGTTACCAATAAAGATCCCCAGCATAACCAAATTATCTACCTCTTAGTGATAATTATTCATTATTCCGAGCCATTAAGTTCTTAAGCCTTATCGATCACATGTGCCAATCAACTAACTCTCATTAATGACTGAAACCAAAGGGTTAACGTCTCCTTTGTCATAGACTACTTTAAGCCGTTCTAAAACTATGTTCACCCTCTCAGAATTTTATAATTATGCATGCACATTTAGCTAAGTGGTCAGTTAACTGTAAGGTTAATTAAAACACTTAAACTATGAACAATGTCTCATATAAGAAACTGAATCAAAACTTTCACATATAGATAGTAGGGTTTAGACCCTTAACTAAGTTTAGCTACTCATGTTTATTGAGCTAAACATGAGAGCAACAAAGTGCAAAAAATTAAATAATGAAGAACAAAAGGTTAGAGGACATAATAGTGAAGAGTAGTAGCATGGCATATTATGTCTGCTCACTTGGGGAAGTATATTTCGTCACTTGTCCGAGTGACAGCCTTCACTCTTGCTGTAGCTATTACTCTGGTTTCTGTCCTAATTAATTTAGCTAACTACTCTATTTTTGAGTTGATTCTAACTACCCAGTCTGTTGTTTTTCTAACTACTATTGGCTGACTATTCATAGAGATTTGGAGAGGTTTAGATTGGTTGAGTTTTTGGCCTCCTTCTTTGCAGTAGACAAAGATGGCAACTTGTAGCAGCTGGAGATTTGTTTATTCAGTAACTTGTCCCAATTGTCAAGTTGTTATCTTCTCTTTGGCTACTCCTTCTTCTCCGGCCGTAATTAGCCATCTTCCTCTAATCATTGCTTTTTCTTCTAGTCTTCTCTTCTGACGCCTCTTCATCATTTTCAGCCACAAATCTCTATTTCTTCTTTCTTTAATCCTCAGCAGCATCAATAGCAGAGGTAGCAGGCAGCAGTATCAGCAGCATGTTTCCCTTCCATCATTATCCTTCTTCCTTTTCAGCCTCCAATTTAGCTTCAAATCTTCTACTCTTTTCTTCATTGTCTCCCCGGATCACTTGCAGCACCATTTTTCACCTCCTGCAGTAGCCATTCTTTCACTTCAGTCAGCAGCAGCAGCAAATGGTAAGTAGCAGAGTTGCAGCTACTTTCTTCTTCATATTCTCTCTCTTTATCTTTTTCCACTTACAATAGCAGCAACTTGCAGTGATGGTTGGGAATTGAATGACAGTCTAGTGGTTAGGTTGTTGTCCTTCCTGGTAATAGAACAGAGTTCGATTCCCACCAAAGGTTGTAAGGGGAGTTTTACCCACATTTAAGTAGGGTCCACTGGGATGAATTTAAAAAAAAAAAAAAAAACTTGCAGTGATGATGATGCAATTCCTTCCTTTGAGGGCAAGATTTCAGCTCTGTTCTACCCTGATTGAAAATAGCAACAGCAACTGAAGCAGCAACTTAGCAGCAGAGTGGCTGCCATTTTCATTCCCTCCTCGATTTGTTGCTGCAGAGTTCATGCAATTGAGATCATCTGCAATAAATCTTCCTTCACCAGCAAGGATTCCTCCACTTGATCAGCTCCACTCGATCCTTCCAGCCCTTGATTTCCAGCAACTTCCAATTTGGTCCTTTTTGATGCTCTTGTGGACAACTTGACCCCAATTTATGCTCATTCTTAACATTGGGTCTCTGATCACCCTGAAATATAAAATTGACCCAAAAGTAAACTAATTTTACTTAATTTACATATAATTTTAAGTAAAAAGGGTCTAATTTAAGTGTTATCAATAAGAACCTTAATTTTTCTCTCTGAGTCTTCATAGTCACACTACACTAAAACCTCTTTAAATTAATCATCTACTAATTAATAACCTCAATTAAATAATTTTTTCCTCCTGTCCCAACTCGGAACTAGTACAAAAAATGAAAAATATCTATTACTTTATAAGATAATAATTTTTCAAGAATATTTTTTGTAAATATAGGTCCCCACAATTTCATAAATTAATAAATACCTTATAAATTAGATTTGAAGATTAACTTAGAATGTGACTTAAGTATTATTGTTTATGTTTCTAATTATAATATTTTTGTTTCATTAAAAAATTTATAATGTTATGGCTAGGATTGTAATGGACTTTTCTTGATGAAAACATGTTAAATTTTTATATTTTCTTACTTATGGGATTGAAAAAATCCTTTAAATTAATAAATATTAATTTATCAATAAATTAGTAATTATGAA